CTTAAAGTTAAAAAAAATGCCGTAATGCAGCGTTATTGAAACTGTCACAGTAACATTTTTAATCAAACATCCGTCTACGTCTCTCTTTCGACAATAATTACCATTTGTGTGATGTTAATCTGTTACAAAAGAAACATCCGTATTTTGTACTTATTTACAAAAAAAAAACAAAATAAAATACATCGGAGATCAAATAAAAAAACTATGGTTTAGTTTTCAATAAGGCATAGTATTGTTGAATAAAAGTGGGCCACGAAACAGGCGGCGGAGAGAATCGGCAAGCGAACCTCCCACGTCATTAAACCCGCCGCGACAGGCAGACACCTCTGAAGAATGTGCTCTTAATAAGTCATCAGCTAAGTAAAGCCCCCACGGGGTGTGGGCGCCTGTTGGAGGCGAGGGGGGAGGGAGGGGGTTGTTAGGAAGCGGGGGGGAGGGGAGCGCGCGGCGTTCGCACAAAAAATGACACAAAGTATAAAATCTGCATACAGTAATGGGAGTAGTAGCCTCTGAGAGGTTGCGGCGTGCACGGATCAAAGGTGAACCGGCCTCGGTAGGCTTCTGCGGAGCGTGACATCTGCAATGTTAGGCTTTATTAAAATTTTGTATCGATGTATAATCTTGCTCCTTTGAAACTCTTTATTAAAGGGACGTTGAATGTGAAGAAATAATGATGTATTAAAGTTGTCAGTTTTTAATAATAACGTTTTATTTAACGTATTATTTACCAGAAATCTAATACTTTACAGTTTTTAGAGATATAATTTTTTTGTATTCCTAAATATAGATGACATCTGAAATTAATTTAGATTGTTTATTTTTTTATTAGAAAAAATGCCGTTAAAATGACACTATTTTTTATACAGATCAGTTAGTCTTTGGTATGTAGTAATATACATTTCCTGGTTGTGATAACGCATTGTTCTCGTTAGACTGAATTACTTTATCCCCTCGGTGCAGCATTATACGATGCAAGAGCTGTCGGAGAACGCACTAAATCGGTAATTCTAATTCATATTGAACTAAGCTTCATACGTATCTTACTGTAATACTCACTAACATGATATCTATGTAGGTATGTATTCAAATCATGGGTTATTTTGTAAGTATAAATATTATAGCAGTTAATTCAGAATATTTTTTTTTTTTATTTTAGAGTCGTTTTTGCTTGGTTTTTTGTATAGATAATTTTTTTTTCTTGATGTCTACCCTTTCATTTGCCTACCTTCATGATAAGCATAATAGATCTACACATGAATATAATATTTTTATATTAATGATCGCTGCTGAAATATTATCTATGTGAATCATCACAAGGAGAATGTTTGTTCTAAAGAAATATAGTGTTTACAAAATAAAGAAAGCTGTTAAGTACTTGTGGAGTTTATGATCTGAGTAGTGAGAGCTAAAAAAGCTCTTTACCTCATATGAAATCCACATTATTAAAAACGTAATAATCAAATTGGCGACTGGTGGTTCTCAAGCTGAAGCGCTTATTACTACACACTTGTTTTAGAAAAGGGTTAAAAATGTAAGCAAGTGAATTCAAACCGAACCCGGTGTAGTTAAAATATGTAATACTCTAATGAGATGTCGAAGAAACTTTCAATGGGGGGTTGGAGGAGCCAAGTAATTGGTGGCAGACGGTTTTAAAAGCAAATAATTAATTGGCTAAGCCGGCGTATGACGGCTCTTTGACATCATTGATTACCAATTCAAAAACGAAGAGCCGATTGAGTCGAGATTCATTAGAAGATCCTTCATTCACTTGATGGAGAAAAATAAGAGATCTATAGCACGACGTGAATGAATGGAATATGTATCTCGGTGTACATATATTTATATATACATATATAAATGTAACACAGTTTTTTTGCTATACATATGTATGTGCATCTTGTATTAAAATTAAAAGGGTTTCTGCACCCCTGCGTGCGTCAAAACTCCGTTAAAGTTTTCGCACGCACTTGAGACGGAGCTAGCTAAACTATCGTGAATTGGCTTTCAGCGTATGCACGCGTCGAGTGTTAGTCGGCCTTAGATCCAACGTGATGATACTTACAACTATATATAAACATTGTCACACCCTTTCGTGTTTAAGTTCTGCTTTGATATCGGTTTACGGATAAGAAACAAACGAATTTATATTATTTATTTCGACTATAGATAATAGAATAAAAATAAAAGAAGCCAATCACTTATCTCACAATTTGTAAATATCAAACTGTATATAAAATCGACACACAAAATGGTGCAAAATAAAATGAAGAATTAATGCGATCGGACGGTGGAGGAATTGAGCAGTACCTCCGACTATGCAAACGAGTATTGGAAGTACACATAGAATGTATTGATTGTAACAGTTGTTATATGTGACGTCAGCGATGTTTAGAGTGATAATTAGATAAGTAAGTTGTTTAAAAAGTGTCAAACATTAATAGAACTAGCGGTACGTTTTTTAATTGGTCACGTTCATGTATCGATTTTGTGAAAACACCCCTCCGAAGCTCTCGCCCTGGCCGGCCATAAAAAAATAAACGGCATTATATTTTGGACGTTCGGCTTCGGAACGATTGTCGCTCCCTCTCGCTTCGCTTTCTTCGTCCTTTTCTTTTTAATTCGCCGTATTTTTATTTGCTATGATAAATTGTAGCTGCGGCGGGTGGGGGCCCCCTTTTGTTTCGGTAATATTTTATGTCTGGTGTTTCGCTTAATTGCGTGGTGGTTTACGGAAGCTCATTGTGGCTATATGGGTCAGACTCCCAGACGACAGGCCTGACCTGTTTACCTTGCAACCTTCTCATGGACGAACAGACAGCAACAATTAATGAATGTGGAAATAACGACCCACTTTTTAAATGGAGTTAGAACAATGAAAAATTAATTGAGATAAGTATATAATGATCGCCTGTTGGGATACGCACGTCTCAACATCAGCTCTTCTACAATCCAGACGCCTTTTACGTACGATGCTGATGAAATAATAGATGTAATATACCCATTGGATGAAATAAAACCCTCAAGAAATAAACACAAAACGTTACATATGAAGTGGGCTAACAGTTTGATTGAACCAAACACCAGGAACCGCTACTACATATAACCATTCTAAAACATCATCTCACTCAACTGTCATTCTGATACCTCCACTGTCAAGCCAGAGTTTTTTAGTCAGATTTATATTCGATTTCGTAACTAGACCCAGAACGGTAACTTCATAGTCGATACAGAAGCGGTTGTGAATGTTCATTATATTTTGTTTTAAGTAAACTGTAAACATGATATATAACAGCAGGATATGGCGATCGAGTATCAAAACTATTAGTCGCGAATAAGATCGGTGATACGACACCGACTGAATGAATACATTTCATCGGCGTCGTGAATGGTCTTTACAATGTTATGACGAACTCTATTGAGGTAATACGATTTCTTAGAATCACACTGTTTAAGTAAAAGATATGTATGCTTCGGTTTTATTATTATGTTGACTGCTTCGAATGTTGCCACACATCCAACTCGTGTAGACGTAACTGAATTTTTAATATTTAGCATTTTTTTTTTTCAAAGTGAGTGTCGCTAGAATTTTACGTAGAAAATTCCGTGTAAGCATCAAAATCAATTTTACTGCGAACGACTTTTCAGTTTGGGGTAAAAAATTCTTTTGTGAACAAAATAGGTCAGAAATTTGCTTTGACACTTGGCCTTTGTACTATAAAGAGCTTTCGAAATTCAGTATATATTATTTTTTGCACGTGGAATAATTTTATCGATCAACATCCGATAGTTATTATGTGACCTTCTGCGACGTAATTATTACATCCCTCTTGTGTCAACAACGTCACCCCGTCGCTGACGCCGGGTATGCGTTATAAGCGTCCATTGTCAAATAATAAAAAAAAAAAATCACCCATTATATTTTTATAACTCACATTCCCTCCGTTCATACTATAGTCGACAGGGCCATAAAACTAATTGCTATACGTATAGCCCTAAACTAATTTACACATATTGTATACAATTTTATTCATATAAGGTGGCTGCAGTTGGTATATAAATTGACCACTTAAAATTCAATTATAACATTATATTTATAGCGCATATAACATACTTACTAAGACCTAAAGTCAATACCGATGGAATCGATGAAAATAGATAAGTTTAATGTTTAAATAAGTTTACACGAAGTGCATAAAAAATATTATCATACATTGAACGTTTAAAAGCAAAAACAATTACTTTATGATATCAAAAAACTATCAGAAGAATAGCGAATTAATCTATACCCGATAAAAGTCGGAACAGGCTTTCTAAAGAGGCTAGATAATTGACTTACTCGACCACTTCATTTTATAATGCTCATAATTTGGTAAAAGGCCACCGGATATATTAGAATAGGAAAATATTCCCCACACACATTGTTACAAATGACACATGCATCGATTACAATAAAAACAATCTGTTGTATTTATAACAGTGTAAAGGATTATATTATGCCGGTAACACCAAAGCGATTTCTTTCACGAACTTGGAAATGCACTCATTTTGTGTTTTGAAAGCAATCCAATTAAGTGTCTATCTTTCAGATATATTTTTATTTATTGCCCGTAATACTTTTCGGTTGCAATGTGAAATTGCAAGCGTGAGGGCACATACAGAGAAGTAAAAACCTTTGATTAAAAAAGTTGAGCGGACTTTTGAAGGCTGACTTTCTGCTTCAATTTCGTATTGCAAGTGTTTAGAAATTTAAATGCGAAAAACCTGTCCCTAAAATCAAAAACGCTCTCTTCATTCGAATTGCGCTTTATTTTATTATGCTCTTTCTACATGCTATTAACTTTAATCTGATATCATCTATTGGTTGCAGTCTTCCTATAAGTTTTACTGGTTTTATAAAATCAGATATGGAACAATATTTTAAGACTTAAATGCTCGAATGTTTAGTTATAATCAAACATCGTCCAATTATTTTGTCAAGTTAAACAATTTAATCGTAAGTATTAGTTGTAGTGGAGTCTAGAAGCGGTAGCGGAAGAGGTAGCGGGAGCGGGAACGCTAGCGGCCGCGGACGCGAGCTGCACCCCCATTAAAACTGCTTCCAGCCCCGCTTTCGGTCCTCCCTCCTCATAAAATATTAAAAATTCAATTGCGCTTCTCTTTATTTTAACTCCCTCGCCTCCTCCGCGACACCCGCCTTCCATACAATATAAAACGAAAAATGTATTTGAAAAATAGCGTTCGCCTATTATTTTATAATTTGTGCTGTGCTACACAGCCGGGATACACCCACCCTCCGAGAAAGTTTATAATATACACCTTTCAAACATTCAGACACCACAGCATTCAATAGAAAAGCCGACTTGCCGGTGACAAAATTTATATATAAAACCTGTTTTTAAATTATTAAAGGGTATTTTATATAAAGTATTAAAGGAAGTTATGTAGAGGGGAGTGGAAATTGATTCAATTTTTTTAAACCCTTAATTTAGCGTTCGTACTTTGTTTATAAGCTCTCAAAAATCGTCTATACATTTGGAAGCAAGTAAAAATTGCTTTCAATAGACCCACTAAAACTGACGAGTTGAATGTGTACGGGTATTTTTGATAGACATTGATTATACCTGTCGACTTTTCCTTTCATTTGTAGAATTGCTGACGTTTATATAGTTTATATAATTTAGAAACTGAAGTGGACTCCAATTTTGAGTGAGCACATTTTAGTATTCCAAGAAAAATTCGTTGGATATTATTCAATTTCGGTGGAATCAAAATTCGTGGTACTCACGTTTGGTAAAATATTTTTATAAAATAATATTGGCTCTTCTATGAATTTATGCAGCATCCCTAATCGAGTATGATCCGGAATTAGTCTGATGAAATAGTGATTCAGTTATACCGTCCATACCTACTATAGATTTTTATAATTACTGCTTTTATTTTTTATTGTTTTCATTAGTATAACTTCTCTTCATCTTATAAATGCTCATCAGTGATAAGGAACATCACTGTGTATACATACTTAATACATTTTATTTAATAGTGACTCTGACCACTTATTATAGCCTTATTTCGTGAATACCAATGCATTTTTATATTTCTTTTTCTATGTACGCTGTAAGTTGTATTGTCTAGGCGCGTGATGTTTAAAATGGAAAGAAACTTCGTTATGTGACAGTATGTGACACTCTGTTCGGAGTGCAACAAAGCTGGTTTTATGCCCTCTGTCTCCACCCCTCCTCAACCACTCTAACCCTCTTTTGTTTCGAATGTCCATTATCAAAGCCATGTACACACAAAAATGGCATAAATTCGTGATTCTCACCAACCATGTTAGGACTTCTCTCAAATTTAAACATTATATCAGGTACAAGGATCGACCAATTTTTTAAATAATTTATTACATTTTTTGAAAGGTTTTAAATCCATTCTTAACAGGTTTCATGGATGGAATATAAAACATTTTTTCTATTTTCCTGGTAAGAAAATGTTTTTTTTATATTATTGTAACTTTGAACCTATATTTTTTTAAAATTTAAAACCAAATCAAAGATGTAGATAATAATATTTGGGGGCTGTTGTCTTTGTAGAAATTCGACTTTTTGACTAAAATTTAGCGGAATGTAGGGATGAGCAAGGACAGAGAGACTATAATTTTTGCTTATATAATAATTTTAATAAAATGGAGATATAATGAGTGTTTTATTTTCATTCCTTCTTTAAATATACAATATAATCTTGACAAAAACACCACACCATTTAAAGGCGCGTATAAATTTTAAGAGATAAATATTTAAACGCCACTATAAGATTTTTTTAATGTAAGAATAATACGAATTTCGTTTTTTAAAAGTAACATTGTGTTAAGAAATAAAAAACAATACAAGAATATTTTATAAATTAATATAAGTGTGGGTCAAAAATGTATTTGTTTTTTAATTTAATAACTCTAAAATATTTTATTCCCGTATTAATTAGTATCAATTGGTCTACACACACATAAAATAGAATTAATTGTAAAGCTATTTAAGAACTTTTTTAATAAGGGTAACAGATAGCATGTTATTTTGTATGACGAATTATAAGTATTTAAATAAAATATAATGTAATTGGTCTTGTTTGATTAGTAAAATGGGAATAATAGATTAGATTAAAATTTGGTATAAACAGATCCTCTGAAATGGATTCTAATTTAAGCAAAGGTGATACTTTTTGTGTATGTTTTTTTATGTAAGGAACTTTAATAAAAAGTAACATATCGAGGAATGCGAGTAATCAAGGTAGTCGAAATATCAACAATCTCCCGTTCCGCTAAATACCTTATCGCATATTCCAATTCTCGTGCGATCTGTGGCGGGATTTTCGAGATTTTCAGCTCTCAGCTGCCCGAGGCCTTGTTAAGAATCCCACCGGTCGAACTCTCCAATTTGAATTTTGGTACGGCACGTCTGCGCGAGGTATGCAACCATCACGGATCATTTGTAATCACTTCATTATGTCCGTTCTTGTATTGTAACCGCTGAATACTTACTGCGCTCCGATTTAGAATTTGACCAGTATCTACCACGTTGTTGACATAGACATTACTTGACATACCTTACATACAAATACGTTTCAAAACTATTAACACCGTATAAAGTTCCGATAGAAATCCAATTAATAAGATAAAATATATAATTTTGATTTTTGAGTAATAAACCTTTTAACGTCCATAAAATATATTAAAGTAGGCATCTTAATCATACTATCAATAAATGAATTCCGTATAATTATAAGAACATCTCAAAGCATTAAACGATTATATGTAGGTGTAGCTTTACGATAATTAAGTATGTGCGGAGAATTCATAAAGAAATATTTTTCTGGATGAGTTCTTTGATGTCCTTAAATTAAAAAGGAATTTATTTTATATGTAGAAGCAAAACCACTGATGGTTTCAATAGTTATCGACGTGTCTCTATTGGCTGGACGTTGTAACAACTAGGCCACTGGTACATCAACAGACAGAAAGACGTGTGCCATTTAATTATTTTGCATCTAAATTAACCCTATTATGACGACAGCACGGTACAAAAACATTTAAACATCGGAGCGAATTTAACCTGACGTAATGAATGTCCACACTTTTTATATCTCTTAAATAAATAAGAGAGGTTAATTTTGTCTCCATATATATATTGTATTTATTAGTAGACGAAAAACCGCAGTTTAAATGTATTTTAACAAAGACTGGATTTAAAATGAATTATATTTTCGAAGCCAATTCACCGACCGTTTGAGGTGCATACATTACATTTGTAATTTAAATCGAGGAATAAGTTCTCTATAAATAATATTAAGGAATAATAAATATTTGATTCGTTACACTCGGCCGTCCGTGCACAATAAATGATATAGTAGTACGCCGGCGATACGATATGACTATGCATTATTTTGCAATATGTGATACTAAAATTGTCTAAGCACAGCACCCCTGCCTAAACGAATGCACACACTGAAAAGCCACACCCACACAAGCGCAACGCACTTGCACCCCACAACGATACTAGAATACAGGATGTTCGAGATACAACGGAAATGTTATTATCGAAGATCCTATTCAGTAGAGCATTTACGAAAGGTAACTAAATATCATGATTGTGGCCTTAATACCTAGAACAACCAAATATAGGCAGACGGTGTGGTATTTTTATCTGATCAAATTTCATCATATCAAAACCTAAGAAAACAATAGAATTTATTACAGTACTGACAACAAAACAGTATTGAATTTAAGCATATTTTAATAGAATCAATGCCTCCTTCCCCCTGTCGATATCGTCGCGTCGTTTAATGAATTCAGCTCAACATAATTATAAAGATGTGTACCTAAACTATATTAGCTCGTAATTTTGCTTCGGGCATTAAGTTTCCGCACACCCTGTACGCCGGGGAGGCGCGGCGCGTCTATTTGTTTTGCCATAGCTTTGTCGGGCTAGGGACATGCAGGTCATTAATTGTTGTAAACGCCAGCTCCTAATCGATAGCGTGCAACGTTCGATTCTAGTTTATATTAATGCTATTTGTGCTAACCGTAGGCACTATCAGTCTAACTACCGCTTTGACACCGACATTGCTTTTTGTACCACCAAGATCAATGAAGATTTTTACGGTATAACAGTAACATTGTCAATATTCCGATCGGAGCCGTAAAGGAATTTATTACGTTTTGTTCTAAACAAGTTTTTTTAGCTATGTTCCCTGACATGATTTTATATTTAGGGGAGGGGGGGGCGTTTTTCGTGTAGAAAAGTGGCCTCTATCAATTCCCGGTCCCCCAACCACCTCGCTGGTATAAATCATCTCAATCCCGTTCCCCTACGCACCATACAAACATGCAAACACACTCCACCATCCATAACGTTAGCTGGTCGACTCCTTATAAACAAATTTTCTTAAAAAAAAATAATTATACATCTCAATCAATACCACAATCGATCTTGAATTATGCACGTTTAAAAAAACTCACATTAACCGTGTTATTTCAAAGTAGCATAGTGTTCAAATTTCATATGGTTGATCTTTCACCCCACATACATGCCCGAGGCATCCCCTCACTGACATAATTTTGCATTAAAATGAATCCAGCTGTGATGTCAAACAAAAAAATTGTAACAATGCTCTGTAAAATAATTCCAAGAACGCCATTTATATTTAGGTCAATTTAAATTATATTAAAGTATTATATGTTTCCATTATAAAGAATTACGATGCAATTATTAAGTTTTCTTTAAAATAATATCAGCGACTAGTTGTAGCATAGTACCTAATGAGGCATATCGTATGTGGAGATTAGTAAGATTTAGGATTAAATTACACTCAATATAACAAGTGGATCGAGTCCTTTAATAGTAGGTGGGAAATGTTTAGTGCAAAATTCATGCACAGATTGTAACGTTCCCACAAACTTACATGAAATTATTTAAGCTATACACATAAATTTTGATACTGATTAAGTTCGAGTAGGAGTTCAAAGTATTAAAAATAGTGCAAACATTTTTTTTAGGTTTTAAAAACTTTATAAAAACGTTGCAGATACGAATGTTCGGATACAAAATTTCGATTTTCAAACTTTCAGCCATAACTTTTTTCGTTAGCGTGATCGCTGGGTTAACCTTACATTGCAATAATATGTAACTTAGTACTAATAAAAAGAATATCACAT